AGAGAGATGGGGAGGAGAATCGAAAGAATGTAACTCCCACGGGTTGAGATAAGAACAGTCCAGTAACTGAGGTATAACACAAACCACTGCTGCTGCCACTAAGGGAAATTAACAGCTAAGAGAATACAACCACTCATCACCCACCGATCGATATCCAGCCCAACCCGAGCAGTGATCTAGCCCTTCTGGTATCTCCCCCCAGTTTATATACTGCGCATGACGTGCTGTGGTATGGAATACCTCTTTCGTTAGTTTGGGTCAGGTGTCCTGTCTCTGCTTCCTCCTGGCTTCTTGTGCCCCTCCTCACTGGCAGACCATAAGACTGAGAAAGTCCTTGATCAGAGAAAATATTACTTAGCAACAACTAAAAACATCGGTTGTTATCAGCACTGTTCACAGAGTGGAAGTAAAAAACTCAGCACTGCACCAGCTACTAAGAAGGAAAGAATTACTGGACAGCTGAACCCAGGATATTAGGTAACATTAGATATCATATTTACTAAATGGCTGTCATAGATTCCCTCTTAAAAGTATCCATCACAGTATTTTAGAATAATTTAAAAAACACTAAAATACTATTGCAATAAAGCACAGTGTAATGAGTAGGAGAAAGAAACAGGTTCTAAAAAATGATATACTGCTTAGTAAGTTGACCTTTCAGAAATACCCCACCTTCACTTATCTTCAAAATAAAAGGCAAGATTATTTTTAATTACATCTTAGGAGCATGATAAGTTTTCATAATGAAAAGTCACTCACATTTGAGCCAGCTAGAGTTTTGCTGTTATACCATGGAATAACACTTGAGTTAAGGTTGCATGACAAATACTGTTCTGCTCTGTTGTATTTCGGATTCATAATTCTGCATTTCTTCAGCTATGACATAACTTTTCCTGATGATAAGTCTCTAATTCCTCAAGAAATATTACACAGGGACAGAAGGACAAACTGTTCAAATGAAGACATTCCCTATAGAAATGTTTAAGTGCATAACCCCCAGCAAAGATGATACACTTTTGCGAGACGAGTAGTAAACTTTTCCCTTTATACAGGAAAAGATCTTGCTTTTTAAAATAGCTTTAACCATGGAAAACAGCAGAGGATTGAAAACTAGAATTTGACTTAAAGACAACCCTCACTAAAAAGAAATGCCTATGAATGTATTGTCAAAAATTGGCTTAGAAAAGCTTTTCAAACATGCACTGTCTCATACATACCTGAATAGGAATTTATTAAGCTTCTGAAGAGCAAGGATGGGGAAGATTGCTCTGAATGCACGTGTGTTGCTAACTCCACAGGGAGAAGGCAATGCGAAGCAACCTGAAAAATTGGTTGTACTTCTGGCTACTGTGCAAAGTTGCTCTTTCCTCAAGCAAAACAAAATTCCATTGCTATTTCACTATTTACAACAGCTACAGAGCAAAGTTTGCTGAATGGCATTAATTATACATTTGTTTTCATTTTCTCAGGTTTACTTGTTTGCTTTTCTGGGTTAAATCACATGAGAGTTGGCTACCCTTATTTCTTACTAAGGTTTTCTGTTCCTTTTGCTAGGTATCACTGACACTCCTTCACACAAATAAAACATAATGATTCCATTAAAATAATGGTATACCATGGACTCAGGTGCAGTATCTCTTGCTGTACTGGAAAAAACTTTCCTCCAAATATGCCTGACTATGGCCTTATGTCCTGGTTTCAGCTGTAATAGAGTTAATTTCCTTCCCAGTAGCTGGTGTTTTGGCTTTAGTCCAAGAACAATATTAATAACACTCCGAATTTTTAGTTGTTGCTAAGTAGTGCTTACTCTGATCAAGGACTTCTCAGTCTCTCATGCTCTGCCAGTGAAAAGGGGCACAAGAAGCCAGGAGGAAGTAGAGACAGGACCTCTGACCCAAACTAGCCAAAGGGGTATTCCATACCACGTCATGCCCAGTACTGGGGGGAATCACACAGAAGGAACCGATCACTGCTCAGGTCAGGCTGGGTGGTGAGCAATTGTACTGTGCATCACTGCTGATTGTTGTTTTGTTTTTTGTGTTTTTTTATTTCCTTTCCCCTTTTAGTTCAATATCTCTTTCCTTGTCATTTCCCTATTATTAGTAGTAGTAGCAGTAGTAGCATTAGTAGTAGTGTTAGTATTATATTGTACTTCAGTTATTGGACTGTTCTTATCTAAACTTGTGGTGTTCACATTCTTCCAAATCTCCTCCTCATCCCACCCAGAGAGTGGAAAGGCATGGGCAGGTGTGCAAATGGCTGCATTGTGTTGAGTTACTGGCAGGTCTTAAACTATGATACCTCAAATGATTTGGATCTTCCTAGCAATGCTCCATGTCACACCATGCACAATGTATTTTGAAAACAGTAACTGAGTTCAGTGTTACCAAAGCTGAGATGCAACATGAAAGCACTCTCATGGCAATCTTGCTACCAACTTTCCTTAGATTAAATCCAAAATCTTAAAGTGTTTTTGAATAAGCTTAGACTCTCCTTTATATTTACAGAGCACATATCCTATGGGATTGAAAATGACAGGCATCTGCAGTGGCAACGCTCGATGTAATATGATGACAGAATTTGCATTCTTTCTTTATGCAGAAATGCAGACTTTCTTAAAGACAAATTAATAAAACCCAAGAAAGGACAGTTCTCTCTCTTGGTATAAAACCAGGTATGATTGAGAACAGGCGCCTGGTTTCATTTCACAGTATAATATAAAAGCTCACTAGCTCTGAGACAGACTACACCAAGGAGACAGAGCATTTATACTGCTCTGCTTCGTTACATCTGTGTTTTCCAAACCACAGAATAGAATTTCTTTTTCAATCTTCATTTCTACAGCAAGAAGGCAGGAAAGGTTATTATCATGTTGCTAAGGGAAATGCATCATGCCATCATCAAAAGCCAGTATTATAGATTGACAGTATTTGGAGAGAGTTACGGCTTGTAAAACCAGTCATTCACATTACTACTGGAACAATATTGCTGTCTCTTAGACCGAGTCAGGAAGAAATAACAGAAACGGCTACATTTTATATTACTTCTATTTCTACTTAAGGGCATTGGCTGTGAGATCTATCTGACTTCCTGCTCTAGCTTCCATTTTGCTTGAATTCCAATAGAAAATATTTCCTGTTTCGAAAATGGAATGAAAATAAAAGATTAAATAATGCTTCCTGCCTTTTTTTTCTCATATCATTTTCTACTGTAAAATAGAAAGGAAGGAGGCTTTTAATATGAAGAAATATCATCATTTTTTTATTAGAGCAACTATTCCACTACAAAGAAGTCATTTACAACCCATTTTGAGCTATAGAAGGAACATTTCCTTTAAAAATAAATAAGGGCAAAACCAAATACACGACAATGTATTTGCCAGAGCGCTCCTGATGCAAACAGAGCAGTGACTGCATACCTCAGCTGAGAATTTAAGCATGAGAGTTTATTGTAAGTATTTTATTCCCTTACCTCTTACAATTTCATCTGAGCTGAGCAGCCCATTTCTTTGTATGTGACATATCTTAGTGGTTTCCCAGGCACAGGGAGAAACAATAACTACCAAATCTGCCTTATGATGTTGAACAAATTTCAATGTGCATTTAATGTGGTTTCCCAAGTTAAAAAAAGACATGTTTGCTTTAGTATCTTGGCACAGCATTGCTCCATTTCAGCCAAATCTAACTGTGAGGGAGGGGTCTTGAAAACATTAAACCTCCAAAGAGGAAGAAGAATCGGTGAATAGCTGACTGGGGATATACCCATCTGCACCTCCACCAAGGAAACCACCAAACAAGCACAGTCCTTAACATTCTAATAGCAGGAATCAGCCGGCTAGCTAGCTGGCTATGAACTGTAGGGTGTAACTCTTGCTCAGACATACAAAATATGGGAAAATGAAACAAACAAAAATACCAAAAACTTTTTTTAAAGGGGTTGGACAGGTATGATAGGCTGGTATTTCCTGCACGAGAGGTATGTGTAGGAGAGATGCAACTTTGCATCATAGAATCATAGAACGGTTAGGGCTGGAAAGGACCTTAAGATCATCAAGTTCCAACTCCCCTGCCATGGGCAGGGACATCTCACACTAAACCATTTCACCCAAGGCCTCTTCCAACCTGATCATCAACCCTCATTAATTCTACTTCCTCAGCTTTAATTCAGCATCACCGCTAAGTGACTGAAATTGCAACCCAAGCTATTGGTTGTTTTCACACAGCACATGGATACTTACTGGGGAATGGGGAAATTCTAAGAGGGATGCTCCTGTGAGTGCAACTGTCCATATTATGACACATGTTTGAGACAACAGTGCTGAAAAACCAAGTTCCCTCTTTCTTTTCTCAGCAAACAACTGGCAAGATGACTGCTTTACTTGCAGCCGCAGCTCCAAATACCTGAAAAGCTCCAGGAGACCTCTTCCAAGAGTCAGCCTATGTCTAAGCCTATTCTGTGTACCAGGGCTGGATACCATGAAGTCGGGTGAAAAAGTGACATAGAGCTACTTATTCCTCACAGCACAAAATTTACCAAGTTGTATCTATTGTCCCATCATTATTAAAATGAACTCCAGTGAAAGGCCTGTGGCTTATGCCAAAACTGTCTTATGATGTAACTTTAATTTCTCCTGCATTTTTGCGGTAACTAATCATTGTTTCATTAAAACATGTACTTTAAATGAAATATAATGATAAATCTGTTGATGAAAAATGACATACATATACAGGAATGCATGTATCAAAAAGTATCAAACACGGTCTTATAAATAATGGCTTAGAGCGCTGGTTTGCTGGAAAAAATATCCCCTCAAAACCAATGGCATTTTATTCTAGGTATGTCTTGAAAATTGCATGTTATATATATACATAAAAGAATATCTGATGATCTCAAAGTAATTTAAGAACAGGAAGCAGTAATAATAACACTTTATACTAAAGCAGATAATATGATAAGTCAAAATTCATATACAGTGTTTACTATGAAATAATGAACTGTACCTTGAAAAATAATGGCTCCTCAGGAAGAGGGCTAACAGGGAGTGAGGTGGTGCTACTAGCTGGACTCATGTCCGTACTCTGAAAGAAAAGCATACAGGGGTTTGCATTTCCAATCAAGTTCTACAGACATCCTTTTACATTTTGGGGTTAAAAAAAAAAAAAAAAAGCTCAAAACCAACACTGAAAATCCAACAGAATAAGATTGACAAAACAACTGCAATCTGTACAGCATTTACCTTTAACTAGTAAAAATATTTCACTAATGGCTAAGTATTTTACATTTTCTTTATTTTAAATGAGCTCCCCATTCAAAGACTGAAACACATGCAAAAATAATAAACATACTGTGTCTTACAAAAGAATAATACAAGAGGTTAACTGACAACACTAAAATTTGTTCATATGGACAACTATGATATACAATTTTGGTTTAATTAGTATTTTTATTATTTTGGGGTTGTCCCAATAGTAAAATTAGGAGACATATTTAACAGGAAAGTAATATACTGAAAGAAAGTATTTGTATCAAAGTTTGAAAAAATATCTCTTTCACATGAGTCAATATATCATACAAATGAACACTGATATATGAAAAGAAACAGTGAACTGCGAAGTTAATACTGAAAATTAGTCAGCATATTACAATGGACCTATCTGGTCAAAATGCTTGAAAGATTGGTCTCTTTTTCAGGTAATATTTCATTAACATATTAGTTAGTATAGTCATTATTTTTACAGATGTGACAGACATCAAAATAGGTATGTGGAAAATATTAATGATTTGGAATTGTAATAGTAATAGAAGAACGAAGTCTAGATTAAAAACATGCACATAAAGTTGTTCTGAAGAAAGCCAGAATATATGATAAATCTTAGGAAATAAGTCCTTAAGTGCTAAAATGAAAAATATCTGCCAACAAAAATAACAATAAACCAAAAATAATGTCATGGAGAATATAAAAAAATCAAAATTTTGCATGGGTTAGAAATCAGTTTCCTTTTCACACTATGGCATTGAAGTGCAGAAGGATTTAATGAATTGAACCTCTGCAATTAACTAATCAGCTGTCTGGTTTCATATCACTATAAATCTATTTTGACCCCTCCAAGAAGTCCAGATTCTGGAAGTGAAGAACACTGCTCCCACTATGAAGTTCTAATAGGTCATTCAGCAGATTTTTAAGCAGAGATACCATATTTTATTGAATCAACTGAGATGAAATTTTTACAAAAATCCCTATGTCAAATCTCAAGTAGAGGACACGGACTTCAAAGTTAACACCTACTGAGAAAACCACAGAGTTTAATCAGATATGTATCAGTTACACCATATCTGAAAGAAAAAACTAGTTACTTGCTAAGTGAAAGGGATGTAAGTAAAGGAGAAAGGAAGGAGGCATGGTAATTATTTCCAAGGAGAAAGAAAGATACAGGTAGTTTATAACCCATGGAACACACAGAAGTAGCTGAGGAATAGGAGAGATTATAACATGTCAGAAAGCCACTATCTTTGCTGAAGCCATTGCTCTAGCATTTACAAACATAACAAATTTTAAGACTGATTCCTGCACTGGATCATTAAGGGAACTGACTGATATTTACCTAAAGGAAGTGAAATATAACTCTTTTAGATTAAACTCAAGTGCAGACAAAACTGGAGACCTTGTCTGTAAGAATGTTCTGCCTTAAAAGCCAACAGTTCAGCTGAGGACAATTCATCTTTTAATTTACACAGTAAAGAAAAACCCTAAGGGGGGGTGGTGAAATCAAGTAACTGCTTTCCAAACCAAATCAAGCACCCTAATTTGCACTTAGAAGTGTGTAGGAAGGCAGTCCAATCTTTTAAGCATTGAAACAGTCCCAGTATGAAAATCTGCAAAGTGGATTGGTACCTTTATGCTACATGAGCTGGAAATTCTTCAGTGATAGCTGGAATCTAAGAAAGGTCAAACAGCCCTGAGGATGCCGAAGATGTTTTTAACAAAATGCCTCAAGGCTCAGCCACATGATGGCCTCAGAAAAACATCCACTTTTCTGCGATGACTGAACACAAGCCAGCCCAGGTCTGGATGCCATGATGATGTGGCACAGTGCCTGAACAGAAAGGCTGCTGAGAGGTGGGCTATACTAGCAGGGGCACCGTGACTATATAGCTTCTGGGCTGCAAATGGTTTGAGTCTGGCCAGATAGGAACATTGGCAGAAGAGCCTGTGTCTGGCTAGAGCTGCTCATGTACATATAGCATCAGTGCCCCCCTTCAACAACTTCAGTAATTTTTCTCTCTAAAGAATGCAGAGCAGGTTCTCTGCCAGTGTAAATTAATTAAATCTAGTGGCACTAACACAGTTTATTATAGTGGAGAACTGAGTGAGACAATACCAAAAGGGTTGTTTCTTGAGCTATTAAAAAAAACCTTTCCAAACTAATCACTGCTTTTAGAGATGTTGTCAGCTTGCTCTCCTGAAGAGATGTATAAACAATTACAAATAACATCACACCTTCCACCTAAATTTACTATCCCTAAGGTATTCGTCATGATCACACTTCACATACAAAAGATACATACAAAAAATACATACATACAAAAAAACTCCTATCACTGTGAGTCCAATGAAGACTTTTATTTGATGTTGCCTAAACCAAGCCTGTTCTCATAAAAGCAGCCACACTTAGACTGGCTTAAAGCTGACAGATTTTAGTTATAGATAAACCAGAATATGCTACACCATTAGGCTATAATCACATCTTTTAAGTCATAGTAGATGTTAGACATAATTTGTATCATAATGATATATATTTGGCAAAATTAGGTAAATCAGGACATCTCCTAATTTTGCAGTACTTCACTGTGCAAGTATAACATTTAAAAAGCATTTCTGATGCATAGTGATACCACAGATGCGTTTTGTAGACTGAGCCTTTTCCCTGTATTGCTGGAAACCTCTGAGTGTTCTGGAGGGCAGAGAATTTGCAAAGCTTTAATCTCCTAAACTCCATTTTTAAAATGTCTGAATACCAAGAAATTCAAGCATTTCTCAGATCAACAGTTTAGAAAATATCATCTTGTTCATGTAGAAAACAACCCTGTGAGCTTTTCTTTCTGTGCTTTTAGTCATTTTTAAATTTGGTGCAGGCTGTTATAATCAGAAAATGGACATTATCAGAATTTCTCTGATAGCTGTCCCACAATTATAATGATCAATGCTCCAGTTTTCTTCCAATTTCTAGAGCTGAGTCCTCCTTCTTGAGGAAAGATTGCCATCATTTTTGTTGTATGAAAGAGAAATCAGCTCTTTCTGAAGCTGTTTTAAAGTAGTCACAGGCTTGGTTTTGTCTTGTTTTCTTCCACTTGCTATACCTACCTCAAAACAGAATGTTTCATAAGCCTACATAGTGACGTAAATTGCCTAACAGCCGGTTAGAGAATGTAGTCAGTGTTTTTCCAGCAATACAGAAGATCAAGTATATATAAATGTACACTGTTAAAACCACACTCCTTTGAAAACAAGTCATCTTCCAGTCTTCAGCAACTGTTCTTTAAACAAAAGCATACTCACTTCCCCTCATAAATTGTGTTTTTTCTCGCTACAAAACCCTTGTCTTTAATCTGATCTTCTCTATGAAGCGGCCCATGTATCAATCTTTGTTAACTGTACCATAAAATACAGACCATCCACTGCATATCATTCACTGACAGAAGCCAATTTAATTTGTTACCACTGCTTTTCAACAAGGGTAAAAACTGCAATGATAGTTGACTTATTTGGAGATCAGCATCACAATTTATTGATCTAAGAAGTTACTACTGACAGAGAAAACCTCCACTGGATATTTGAGCTAGAGATCAAATAAATCTTTATAATAACTGAAGAAAAGACAATCTGTGTCCTTTATAGCTTCTTCTAAGGAGCAGTGGATGAGTGTCGAACGGACTTTCAGGGTGATAGTTCTAGTTGTACCATACGTGATGCCACTGAGTATCATTTTATAACCTAGAAGTGGAGTAGAACTAGGAAATTAAATAAGTGCAGTCAGCAAGCTCGGTAGTGACATTTTGATATACTGAAGGTAATCAAAGACCTGCAAATGGAGTTATTAATGGGTCTGCCTAACATCTTTATGAAATATTGTGCTTAAATATTATCATCCCACTTTATCAATTAAAGTAAAAAAAGAAGGGGGAATGGTTTGCCCAAAGCTATGAAGTGCTGTTAAAAACAAAGACAGAAATTAGGAACTCACAAGTCCAAGCACTCCATTTACATCCAGAGTGCGCAATGCTCCCCTATGTGCTTCTAGAGTGGCTTCTCCAGTTTCTGTATTACTTAAAGTCATGAAGAGTTTTTGCTCTTCCTGCAAATAAAATTACTATTAAAAACTAGTAATGATAAGAAAAAAGTGTAGACAATGAAATGAGCCTTCACCTCCCACCACACTTGACTAATTTCCCCCAATATCCTCAATCTCATTAAGAATGGAAATGATTCTTTAAAATGTGTTTAGGCCTATTTTATAACATCTTAGAATACAATCCAGATGGTTATTTATAAAGCTATTTAATGTGTCTTTTATTAATAGGCATAGTTAATTATTATTACTAATAGGGGCAATTATCAGCTGAGACATTTAATTACTATTTTCCAGTATTTGCCTGGTCCATTGCCTAGAGCTCGCTTTTCCCATGGCTTGAATGGCTCTGCAGTTCTTGCATCTAACCTGCATTATCAGAGCTCACATCACATATTACAATTACAGCTGCTTCTTACTACCTCTTTTTATGCCAGTACATGAGGTGTGGATAGCCAAGTTTTTACTGGTTCAATCACCCACTGATTCTCAACTAGCACTTAGTACATCGGTGGGCAGATCAGCTTCAATTCCTCTTACCATCTAAGCAAAGCTGACCTCCTGAGCTGTGAAATGCCAGTGGGAAATTTCACCTGATCTGTCACTTAACAGCATTTGTATGTCCAGTAATGTTTAACTTAAATTCTGACTTCTCAGGAAATCTGAGCAAACACATTAAATGTAATATTTTGCGCAGCAATTATTTTTTTTTTTCAGCAGGGAGGAATTGG